TCAATATCAAAGCCAGATCGTTCCTGATTAGCTTCTTTGAGCCTTGGGGTGGGGGGGGTCTACAAGGTCCAACTACAAGGACTACACACAGTTTTCAGTGAGCAAGAAAAGAGAAGTGCTCCATCTACAGCATGAATCACTTCCTTATTCCTGACGCAGATGCTCAGCCCTGAGAGCTATATTCCCTAAAAAGTGAGAATGTCAGCAACCCAATCTGTGGTCAGAACATGGTTGTGCAATCTGAAGATGTAAAGTATCTAAAGCGCACAAAGAAACTGACATTTTGTGCTGGGATTGTGGGTGAAAGGTAGAAAGGGTTTCCTAGGAGGATAAGGTGAAGAAATTACCTTTCAGTTAGTCTTTTGTGCACAGAGAAATTCTAAAAACACAACAGCGGAAAGAGGAAATGATGCCTGTGTTGGATCAAGTAGCTCAACAAAGGTTTATTCTTCAGTAACGCAAACTACAATGCATGCAGCTGAGACGCCCCCAAAGCAGTATCACTGTCAGGTTATTAATATTCTTTCTGATTCTACCACATGACACAAGTCGGTACAACACCTGCAGAACTTTGACTCAGAAAGTCTCAAACACAGAGACACGCCGCAGCTTTTAATACACACTGTGGGGTATTCACTGGTGGATTTATTTTTCTGAACTCACTGGAACTTGGTGGTTTCAAGGGGGACTCGTTTAGCAAGAGTTTAAAAAAAGTACAGAGAAGGTGAAACCATTCAACAATGTAGACGATTCAGAAAATCAGAAACATGTCAGGTATCTGAGTCAAACTGCTTAAGTGATGTTTAGCAGTTGCTAAATCATATGATACGTGTGAAAGATTAACATATATTGCTATTTGATATTCTGACACACTACAATGAAAACATTCACCCTGTTATATAATATAGCGTGTGCACTAGTGTAATTTGTATATCTCTGTTTACACATTATTAATGTTAAAATGTACAACAACACTTGCATTTATTAAGCATCATATATGTGTAGAAATCTTTGAATACACCAGATTTTTCATATTTAATAAACTGGCAATGTTTACATAACACTGAAATGCATAACTCATAAATCCATGGAAGTGATGTATAGAGTCTACTTGATCAGTTTAAAGTTTATGGTATACAATAAAAATTGTCGTAAAGCTTTGTATTGATAAGGTTTCCAAATATGACTCTACTACTGTTGATACTATGTACATTACCAGCCACTGTTCAACTATTTGCTAACACAAGTATCCAGTCCAAACAGCAAACATCAAGACAGCCTGATGAAGTCCAAACCATGCATCAGAATGGAGAAGGTGATTACAGTGACTTTGAACATGTCACGTGTATCGGTGCAAAACAGCCTGTTCTAAGTATTTCAAAAATGCTGTTCTATTGTAATTTTCATGCACAATCATCTCTAGGGCTTACAGAAGATGCCCAGAATATAAGA